TGCTTTTAAAGAGACATTTGTCATTTAGATATAAGGAGATTCAAGTCTATTCAAATGAAGCCAAGTCCTTGCAATTTTGAAAATCATTTGAAATAGTGATAGCACAAACAACATTATCAATGAGATGATGGCCAATCACCAAAACTGAAATCATTTGGATATGTACAAATGTTACAGTATGACATAACTAGCCATTCTTTATGTGCAATAGCCCCTAAGGATGTAGAGGATTATAGCTCTCTACAAATTTCTGGCTTTGTAGCTCTTACACTGCTTAATTCTCCATTCCAAGAAAATGCAGAAGGACTGCTACCAGTCTCAATTCTAATTTTTCATACCACTATGTCGTTAGAACTATTCTGGTCCCCTATGATGTTAATAATTTCTGCCGTTGGTGTCTGACTGCCTATTAATTGCTGTATCAATTTATTATTAGAGCAGTCAACTGTCAGACTGAAATGATCTTTGGTTTTTGATCCTTATAGAATGGTTAGACACTAGGCAGGCAGTTGATATTCTTTGCAGATGAAACTTTTTTTATCCCTTGTATTTGGGACACTTGTAGGTATTGGATACTCTCTTGTTGTTTAAAATAAAGAAGATTGTCATTTTATCCAATCAATTTGTGCCCAGGTCGATTTGAGCTGCTAACACTGGTTTGATCAATGCTGGTAATGTCTGTAGAAATTTATGCTGAACTATATCATCAGTGACATCAATCTGACTCACTAGAGACATCAGTTCGTGACACTGGTAGTATGAAATTGGGATTAAAAGGGTTCATGTGAAAACTCCATATAGGACTGGAAAATTGGAAGGGTTGAAAACGTTAAAAATGTTAAGGTGAAAACACGAATTGAAATACAAAGTGAAGGGAAAAAAAGAAAGAGAAATGTTTTTTTTTTTTTTTCTGATAAACAGAAATGCCAAATGGAATGTGGAGTTCAAAATGCATTTTGGAGAAAATATAAATTGAAAAAAAAAACAAATAAGAATTGTTATGAGCCCTCAAAGCTTTTTCATAGCATAATTCTGTCAACTCAATTCAATACTTAAGTATGAAAACTCAATATTTCACTGCCCTGTGATGAAAATTCAGTTTTCACTGCTTAGTGATCAAAGAACACAACATTGGGCAAGACATGAAGAAATGAAGCAGTCAACAGATAATCATCAATTGACTGGCAGCAGTGCTGGTCAGTCCTAAAACAACCCAGGATTCAGCCGGGCCAGGCATGTTATAAAGTTTGCTTAAATATATGGATAGACAACCTGTGATGACCGAGGTTGGCAACAATTTGTCCGGCATTTCTGGTTTAGATTTTCTATATGAGGTAATGATGGCTTACTTCAGTATCTTGTAATTGATTTCTTTTTTTTTAAATACTGCTGGCTACAGTTTCCTGACAATATGTGGAGGTAAAGAAGTTAATATGTGGTAAAATCTTTTTGTCTCCTTTCTGTGTGTGATGTTAAACTGAGCTTCCATTATGAAAAACCATATTGGATTCAATGAATGCAGGTGGTTTGATTGATATCTCCTGTATGGAACTGGTTTGGTTGGAAGAGACCAGTTCTACTTCACTGTCAGACATTGTACTTTTTTTTTTTTAATGTGTCTATATATGCATCAGATACATCGGATTTTATGAATGTGGGGTTTACATGGGGGTGTTTACAGGTCGTTATCTTTGGATAATGTCCTTAAACCAAATATATACCAATTTCTGACCATTTAAAAATGCATCCAAACATAAGTACAAAGATATATTTTGCATGTACTGATAAAATTTTATATCTCATAAAATAAATGATACAATAAAGAGTTCATATCAGAAAGATTTTGTGCTGAACGTCTAAAGTCCTTTATCATAAAAGAGAGAGAGAAGAGAGTCCTTGTAAATGTGTATGCACGTATGCATGCAAATATCTCATTGATAGTAGTAAATCCTTTTGACTTCGTTGGATTTCTAGGTGTCTGAAAATGTAGGGCATTGGAGAAGGGACAATTATTTTATCCACTATATTTGGTTCCTTTGCCTGGCTGTCTCCTGTTTATCACTTTTTTAAGACAAAGGAATTCATTATTTGACCATCCCTTTTTCTTTACCGATATTTAGGAATGATGACCTTTTTGACCTCTTATTTTTTACTTCTTTTTTTCCTTATCTTTTTGTTTTTATTTCTTTATGGCAAAACAAAATGGTTTGCAAACTTTTCTATCTTTTTTTTTTTTAAATAGTGAACATTTATTATTCTATCACTGCAGTGCGTAGTGTATTATGAACATTGAACAGGACCCCCTCTCCTAAGCAATGAAAAACAAATGTTGTGGCTTGAAGCTGGTCTCAAAAAATGATAACTTACAAAAATTATTCCCCGGAAAATGTTTCCCTATTTTTTATGAATGGACCAGTCTATTTAAGTAGTCCAGAATAAGGTTATGTTGAGCAATGCTCTAGCCAGCAGAGTATTGTAGTGCTTAGGAAAGTGCTGGTAATTTCGCTAAAGATTTGAATATGATTTTTTTTTTTTTTTCCAATGTCATTTATCATGCTCCTTGAAACCTTGAAAGTGATTTGGGGGGGGGGTATTGTTACTTTTCGAGAAAAAAACCCAAATCGAACAACAAAAGTTAAATAAAAAAAAACTCAATGCTAAAAAATGAAGCCGGATTTTATGTCCAAGATTATAACAGTGAACAATTCATCTTTCTTTTTACATTTGTAAAATTTAAAAATTAAATTTTTTTTAGAGTAATTAAGCCTAAAAAGAAAACTTTTTGTGTTGGAGTTCCTAACACCACTAATTTAAGATCTGTACCTGCATTTATGGACAAAAAAAAAAGTTATTTCAAATCAAGGGTAGGGTCCAATTTTAAATTGTAAATTTGACTCAACCAATAAATTTTATGTTCCCAAAGAAATACTCATTCAAAGAATAATTTTTTTCTTTTTAGAGTATATTTTCCTAAAAAGAAAAAAAATATATAAGCGATAAAAAAAAAATTATTTCAAAAAATTCTTTCGTTGAACAATTCAGGAAAAATAAAGAAAAACCTTTAAAAAGGATTGTATATTGTAATGTAGTAATGAGAAGTTTATTTTTAAGCTAAATATTTCGTTTGGGCATCAGATAAAAAAGAAAAAGAATTAATAACAAAAAAATCAAATTTAACTTCAAATTTCTAACTTGCATTGTATTGTGATTCAGTGTAGGATAAAAAAAAATTATGAAAATCAAGTCTGTCAGATATCCCAGATTGGGAAATTTTGCAACCTTCATAAGTTTTTAAAAATCTATGATAAATTTAAATTAAAATAGGATTTTTTTTTTTCGTCAGAAAGAAACGCTAAAATTTTCAAACAATTTATTTGATTTCTCGAACAATAACATCAAAATCTTTGGTTACAAGTAATATTTGTTATTTTGTCACTTTCAAGTTTTCATTAATGAAAACTTGAAGTATTGTAGAAAAAAAAAATACTTGCAAACAGGTGGGACTGAAATAAAATTTTAATTTCTGATTATATGTCTTTTTTTTTTTTTAAATATATAATAAAAATAAATCTAAAATAATAAAAATCTTTTAGTAATAATAAAAAAAAAAAAAACTAAAAAATGTCACATTTCGCAATTGATTCTGACACTAAACGAGAAAGCTAAAAGAAATAAATCAATTTTTTTTTTCATATCAAAATTTAAAAATTCCTGTTTGAAATGAGATACATTACAACATGCAATTTTATTGAAAAAAAAGAAAAAAACCGCATTTTTGGACTGATTCAATATGAATTTTAATTTTATTATATTTTTTTCCCACTAATTGTTAATTTGAATTATTTAAGTTTTTTTTTTTTTTAGTTTAAGAATTTTTTTTTTAGTAACAGACAAATTTTATTTTTAAAATAAATCATTTCATAAAAAAATTAATTTTGATAAATATCGTTTTTTTTTTAATTTAAACGACAAAAAGAATTTCTTAGAACTAGTGGAACAAAAAGGTGGGGAAGAGATTCTGGTGAACAAATCCGCTTATGACAGAGTAGCACGAATTTTTATCTTTTCTATAAGGAACTGCGCTATTTCATTATTGAAGTAAATAAAGTTGAATCTTGTAATTAAGTGTTGTGAAATTTCAGGTTTTTTACTTGTTTTTCCGTTTAAAAAAAACTTTTTTTCTCACTCCTGCTCCTCCACACCCACGCCTGGTGGCGGGGGGGGGATAAGTTTAATCAGTGTAAAAAAAGTTCTTAAAAGTAGTTTTAGTAGTGTGAAATAGGTTGAATTGAATAAAATTTTATAATTTGATATTTCTTTGTGAGCAGGTTTCTGAAAATTTAACTAAAAAAATATATATTTTTTTTTTTAGTAACTACAAGCCAGCTATTAATTTAAAATACGTAATTTTCGGGACTATGGCTATTATTCCCCACCTACGAACAAACATTCTTTACATTTTTGGCATTAATATAAAATAAACCTATCAACTATAATAAGAATGGATAGAAAATTCAAATATTGTCTTTATTATAATTTAAAAACAATCTGAAAAACAAATTATTTTCTTTTTCTTCCTTTGGGTTTCAGGCTTATCTTCGGCAAGATTTACAGTGCAATTTTATAAACAAAAAAATATCGGAAAATTATTTCCTTCTATTCGATTTAAACTTTTCTTTTCTTGCATAACATTTTTTCTCCGTTAAAGTTCTCTTTTCTTCCTTTATCACAAAAACCTTTTTTGCGATCAAAATTTTGAAGTTATTCAATTTGTAACAAAACAGGACAAAATATTTAATTTAATTTTAATTTTTTTAAATATGAATCATTAATAAAAATTGTGACTTTTGACGCTAGGTTTTCTTTTTAATAAAAGAAAAAAATACACTAACAAAAAATAAAAGGAGAAAAAAAGTTCAGGCACTCCTCTCTTCATTAGTAAACTTTCATAGTATTAAAGCGTTATCCATTATATACAAAAGACATATTTCTCCACTTACCTGCTAAAGATGGGATTAATTCTTTGCTGGCAAGAGAGAAATTTAGACTGAGATAAGAAATATATCTTGTTATTGCTAAGTTTCCTTGATTCACGTCATTGTATATGACAAGACATGTTTATAGTGATTAATTTCTTAAGGAACAAAGATTCAGTAAACACCGTTCAACACGCACGCGCATAAAAAAAAGAGGTGCTGTCATTTTCAAGGGAGGTAATTCTCAAATTTCAGTGAAGAAGATAAGGGCTGATGACTGAAAATTAGAAGTCTTCTTCACTAAACAGACTAATAGGGAAAGCTATTCAACTTGAAGGTAAATATTTATATATTTCATTTCTCCTATCAATATGGAATTAGAAATGTTCTTGTGATTTAAGAAATCTTTAGCCTTTTTTTTTGCTAGGTTTGCTGCCAGGAAAGTTGGTTTCTTGTGACATAGTGCTAGACAATTTTTCCCAACAGAATCTATCTTACATATTTATAAGTCTGCCATTCGTCCATGCATTGAATATTGCTGTCACATCTGGTCTGAGGCTTCTACTATGAATTTAGAGATTCATGATAAAATACAAAAAAGAATCTGCAATATTATTGGTCTTGACATAGCATCTCGTCTTCAGTTATTTTCCCACCTCTGTAACGTAGCTTCCCTGTGCCTCTTCTATAAATATTTTCATGGTAATTGTTCTAATGTGCTTTCTTCTTTGGTACCTTAACTTTACAAATTTAAGTGTAGTACTAGATTGGCAACTAGATCTCATCATTTTACAATTGAAATGGCTAGATGTATCTGTAAGTTCTATGCTAACAGTTTATACTCCAATACTTCTCACTTGTGAAACTCTCTCCTGGCTTCTTACTATCTAGCCAACTTTGATCTTCAAAAATTTAAATGTAATGTCAATTATTATCTTGTCTTCATAACTCCTGTTCTTTTATTATTCTCTCTCCTTAATAGTGTCTTTCTTTTTCTTTTATTCTTTCACACTTAGTAGCTGCTTGTGTCTGTGTTGCTTTATAACTTTAACTGGGGTGAAATGATTAAAAAAAAAGGCAAGAGAACCAGATCAATGTGGAGGTGACCTCATAGATACAGTCCCCATTAAGATAATGAAAGAATAATATTATTGCTAGTAAAACTGGGAATTATACAAATTTATTACCTTCATTAAAAATGCTAAAGAAAATAAGAAAAAGCAATGTCACCTACAGGGTAATGTCTGTGTACATATCAACATATAAAGATGCTACTTATGAGCCATTGTATGTTGACTACCAGTCTGCAAAGCTCTGAGTAATGGACTTCTTTTCTTCAAATTTTGCCAGGCCATTTACCCCCTTCTTTTTTTTTCAGGCAAATATATATATATTTATGAAGATAAATGACAATAGGAAAACTGGTAATTGCTGGCGCGTTTTCGTCCAATGTGGACTTTATCAAAGCAAAATAAAGTCCACATTGACGAAAACGCGCCAGCAATTACCAGTTTTCCTATTGTCATTTTTATTCATAAATATTGTCTTCTCTACCGATTTAAATTTCATATATATATATATATATATATATATATATATATATATATATATATATATATATATAGCATAATGAGAAGCCATGTATACTTTCTTAATATGTATATATAGAAAAAAATCAGAAATCTGATGAAAAATTGAGGACAATTTGAAATATCAAATATATATATAAATAAATAAATACTTTCATAAAATAAAACATTATTATTTTTTAATTTGAAACTTTTTATATATATATATATATATTTATATATATATTAATAATAAATTTTTTTTTTTTCCTCACCAATAGCACAACTGTGTTTCATGCACAATGCAATCGTCAGGTGCTGATTGAAAACTGACTGTTGCATAATTTAAAATTAGTCAATCTCTATCATAGACATCTACTCAGGCAACACCCATAGAGCCCACCTGTGGTTTACATTACAACTATGATGAGTGAACCTTAGTTACAGTTTCTGGGAGAAAGTGCATAATCTGTCATGATCAACAGATCAAACAACACCAATACACCGAAACCCTCGGTCACAATGACTGCTAACTTCATGCTAGCACAATCATCAATGACTTCTGAACAGTTCTGTCTAAACAGTTACACTCACATGGCTTGAGTCAGACCATGGTTTTGTTTTCAGACACTTTCCAAAGGTACTGCACACTGGGATCGCCTACCCAGGCCAATAACATCAAGAAGTCCCCTTCCTGATAAATCAACCTTGATAAAATTCAAACACAGATCTCATGCTCTGAAAGTGAGCATTGTCCACACACATGTACAGCAGCTGTAATAGTTGCATATTTACCATCGCTACCAGTGGTCAGTCAGACAAAATATAGGATTTCATTTGCTGACTTTTGATGCCAAAAGGAGACTTAGATATTTTAGTAATTTTTTTTTCCTTAATATTTGTTCTTTATTCAAATTTTAGCTGGAATCATAGCCAACTGAATATAAGGGAGATAACTCTTGTTTTTTAATTTGGTTTCATTGCCTTTCAATTTAATTATTGATCAAGAAATTCTCCACACCTCTTACTCTTTCTTCCCCCTCCCCCTCTCTCTGTCTCTGTCTCTCTCTCTCTCTCTTTTCCTTTTAGTTTGTGGTAATCATAAATATAATAGAACATTGCCTGTGAGTGGTCAAGTGAAACAACTCTCAATCCAAACTGTACTTTTGTTCATCAGAGTATAGAATGTCAGAAGAATCTTGGATCATGAATCTTACAGTAGACCTGAGAGAAGAACAGCTCTAGTTGCCAAGGAGCTTTCCAGGTACAACATTGAAATTGCAGCTTTGGGTGAGACCCGTTTCTCAGGTGATGGACAGCTGACAGAACTTGGCAGTGGGTACAATTTCTTCTGGCCTGGCAAAGAGGAAAGCCAACATCATGATTCAATAGTTGGTTTTGCTATCAAAAACACTTTGGTGAAAAACCTCACTTCTCTTCCTGCTGATGTCAGTGACAGAATAGTGTAAGGGAGAATTCCTCTCAAAGGCAACCATTACCTGATGATAATCAGTGTGTATGCCCCAAGAATGGCCCATGCAGATGAGATGTTCTATCTCCAGTTGAAGGAGGTTGTTTGTAAAACCCCCCAAAGAAGACAGACTAATTGTCCTTGGTAATTTCAGTGCTTGAGTCAGGTCTCACTCTGATGCATGGGGTGATGTGTTTGGAAAGCTTAGTCTTGGGTGTGTGAATTCAGATGGGCTTCTGTTCTCCTCCTAGGCAGAGCATAGCCTAGCCATCATGAATAGCATGTTTCAACTTAGGGACATCCAAAGTGACATGGATGCACCCAGATCTAAGCATTAGCACACGATTGACTATGTCATCACCAGAAAGAAAAATCCAGGACTTTAAAATAACACAAGCTTTAAGAGGAGCAGATTGCTGGAGTTACCATTGTTTGCTTCACTTCAAATTAAAGTTCCACATATGAAAGTGCAGACATCCACATGACACAAATCCACCAAAAAAGAAAATCAATGTCAAGAAGCTAAAAGAAGCAAGGAATAGATTCCATTTCTAGTGTGCCTTAGAGAAGAAGCTCAGAGCAAGTAAAGAACCTGATGGCAACAGTGACGCAGCTTGGGTTGACATCAGAGACACAATTCTTGAACCTGCAGCAGAGACTGTAGGCCACAGAGGAAAAAGAAACAAGGATTGGCATGATGACAATGATGAAATCATATATGAGCTGCTAGCTCAAAGGCATTCAAGTCATGTTGAGTGCATTGCTGATCCAACAAACATGATCAAAAGAGGCAGATATCTGAAGCTATAGTCTAGCATCCAGAAAAAGTTGAAAGAAATCAAAGATGACTGATTCAAGAGAAAAAGTTGAGCTGCTTCAGCACTACAACAATAACAACAACAACAGGCATTTCTACTGTGAAATGAAAGCTATGTACGGACCAAGCAGTAATGTAGAGACACCAATATGTGACCTTGACGGAAAACAAGTGGTGAGTATGTCACTTTGAACAGCTTCTGAATAAGCCCTCACAGATCAGCCAAGAAACAATTGATGAAATAGACCCCATGGGGACAAAAAAAAATCTAGAACTGCCTCCATCAGAAGACAAAGTTCTCTCAGCAGTCATCCATCTACAGTGTGGTAAAGCACGAGGTCTGGATAATATACCTCCAGGACTTATTAAGTTTGGTAGACCTGAATTTGTGGCTAAGCTCACTGCCTTCTATGCTCACTGCTGGGATGATTCCACCATTCACAGTGACCTGGGTAAGACGATAAACTACATCCATACAACCTTAAGGTTCAAATTAATTAACCACCTCTCATAAGGAGAAACGCTGTTACATGATTGGTTATTTCAGCTCATGTAACAGCGTTTCCCCTTACGAGTGGTGGTTAATTAATTTGAACCTTTTAAAACCTTTATTCTAAAATCTACATTCAAGATCATCACTTGATAAGACACCAGAGGTGTTGAAACAAAATGGATATTTTTGTAGTGATTTTATAACATATTTATGTTATAATTTTTAAATAAATGATTATATTCGCTCTACTTTATATTGAGCACTCTTTGAAGTATAGCAATTGTTGATTATTGGAATTTATTCCATATACACCAATCATATACTTGTATATATATATATATATATATATATATATATACGAGGTGTTATCAAAAAGTTTCCAGACTAGTTATGTAGTGTGCCAACAGATGACAATACATGGTTGCATGTGTAGTGAGAGCTAGCAGTGACCTTCATGTTCCAATGTGCTATTGTTGTGTTCAATTTGCAAGTTGAGAAATTTGTGTTTTTGTAATCATGTGTATGCTGTGGCCTGAGATTTTGTCATGGAAGAGCATGCACGTCACTTTTTTCGATATCCACAGTATTGTGCATTGAGACTTCATCCCCCATGGCCAGACCATCAATCAAGGGTTCTACTACAATGTTTTGAAGTGTTTGAGGGAGCAACCAGATCTGTGCAGTGTGAAGAATTGAATTCTTCACGACAACAATGCACCTATCATTGAGCTCATCTCCCTCATGAGTTTCTAACCAAAAACATTTTATTACCTCAACAACCTACCCTATTCAACAAATTTAGCCCCTGCAGACTTCCATCTCTTCTCCAAGATGAAAATGCAGCTCAAAGGTTGCTGTTTTAAGACTGTTGCCAAGATCCAGAGCAAGCAACAGAAGGTACTTGACTCACTTATGGAAAATGACTTCAAAAAGTAGCAAGAATGCTGGGATTGGTGTTTTGCTGAGCAAAGTAAATATGATGTTAACACTTAGGTAAATATATTAATGTTTTTTTAAACATAACTGGTCTGTGAACTTTTTGATACCATCTTGTATATAGATTACAGTTTTATCATTTTCCCATGGTAAATATTATCTGCTGTTTGCATTCAAAGATGTTTAAAAATTTGATACAAAACTATATATCCAAATAAGAACAAGTAAATAAATAACAATATGGAAAAATGTTCTGTGATTCATTTCATTCCAAAAGAACATCATCTTTGGAGAAATAATGGTTAATTCTATATACAAAAAGCTGAAAAATGCTATAAATGTTGTTAACTGGGGCAAAAAATGGCTTGTAACTTTTAACGCTTCCAAAACGAAACTGTGATCTTTTAGTCATCATACGGAACTATTTTTGCCTTCCGCCAGTATGGCTGATGCTAACCTCCAGAAGAGCAACTTTTTTTTCCCTTCTTGTTCAATGTTTTTCAGTGATATAAAGTGGAAAGATTATATTGAATCAATTTCTAGGTGTGCTACTGAAAACTATGGTACATAGTGTCATGCCAGACAATTGTTTTCACCAGAATCCTTCTTGCATCTATGAATTTTTGACAGATAATTCCTCTCTTAAGCGATGTAAACTTACCAAAAATAAGGTGACCAAATAGAAGGTCCTCTGGTATTTGTGTACGTGTATTCTCTGATTTTGCATTTCCTTTTTTTTGTTTGTCATCTGTTTTTTGTTTTATTTCATTTTCTATTATTTTTATACTATTTATTTATTTTTCTATATATTACTTTATATTTCTTCTATTTTATTTGAATTTTTTTTTTTTGGAATAAAGAAAGAATGGTACTGAAATCTAAAGGTGTATTGGGATAGCCAAAGATGCATTCCAAAAGCTAAGCAGAGTAATAAGAAATAGGAAAATTTTATTAGAAACAAAGAAAAGTGTACTAAACTGCTATGTGATATCTATCCTCCTGTATGGCAGTGAGTGCTGGACAATCTCCTCAAAGATCAAGAAGAGACTTGAAACAACAGAAATGTTGTTCTACAGAAGGATGCTAAGGATACCATGGACAGAACATGTGTGTAATATGGAAGTTTTGGAGAAAATGGAAACAAAAAGGAAACTAATATTTAACATCAGAATGAGACAGTTGAGGTTTCTATGGCATTTAATGAGAAAAGATGGCTTGGAAAATCTGATACTCATGGGGCACTAGAGAGCAAGAAGGACAGTGGAAGACAAGACATAACTTAATGAGCTTGAGTAAATGGATGACGGAAACAGACTTAGGAGAAATAGCAGAAAGTTTATTAAGAGCTGCAAGGAACAGCAAGTCATGGAGAGACATGATCACCTATGTCCTGAGGGAATATGGCATATAAAAAAAAGAGACACATGCTTGAATTTCATGACTTCTACTAACTAGTTGGATTGGTAAGTGCTGAAGTTTTAAAGGGAGAAGTTTTTCATCCTTATTTTTTTAACTTATTTATTGGTGGACCGAATCTTAACAATGTAAGATATGCAGATGATACAGTATTGATAGCAGACATAGAAAGGAAACTTTAAGAACTCCTAGAAAATGTAGTGGAGGAAAGCAAGAAGAAAGGACTAAACATCAGTTGCAAGAAGACTGTTTGGTCACAAAATGAACAGCACAACATGCAAATTACAAATTGGAGATACTGAAATCAAACAGGGGCAACAATTTACATATGTGTGAAGGGTTTTAATAGAGGACTGAAAGTGAGACACTGAAATCCAAAGGGCATTGAGATAGCGAAAGATGCCTTCCTAAAGCTAACCGAAGTATTAAGAAACAGAAGAATATCATTAGAAACAATGAAAAGAGTTCTGAACTATTATGTAGTATCAGTTCCCCTCTATGACAGTGACTTTTGGACAATCTCTTCACAGATGAAGGAAAAGCTTGAAGCAACAGTAATGTAGTTCTACAGAAGGATGCCGAGAATGCCATGTTCTAGAGACAATGGCAACAAAAAGAACATACTTAACATCAGGAAGAGACAGTTGAAATTTCTTGAACACATAATGAAGAAAGAGGGTTTGGAAAATTTGATACTCACAGGATAGATTGAAAGTAAGAGAGACAGAAAAGCAATGTACAATCTATCTGGCAAGCTTGAGTGAATGGATGGTGGAGCAAGGTTTGAGAGAGATATCAAAAAGACAAAAGTTATTAAGAGCTACAAAAGAAAAGAAACTGTGGAGAGCCATGACTACCAAAGTCTTGAAGGGCCACAGCACATAGAAGAAGATCTAATTTGTAGGAAAGTTTTGAATTGTTTCTTGATCTACCTGTAACTGTTTCAGTGACTATTTTCTCCTTTTTTTTCTGTTTGACCCTCTCACAATCCACCTACCCAAGGGTGAAGGAGGTGAAGCAAAAACATTTTGATAGATAATTCCTCTTTTAAGTGATACCAACTTACCAAAAGACAAGTTGTATTGTGTTGTTCTATGACATGTGATCAGTAGTCAGCTTTTCTCCTCTGACCAACATATGCAAATAGGTAAAATCCTATTTGTTAATCCCATTAAACCTCTCTGAACCAAAGAGGTTTAATGCCTTTCATTGTTCTTGAACTTCTCCTACAGCCACTTTCCTCCTCTCCCCACTTGTTCTTTTTAATGGAGATCTTGGTCTCATCTCATCTTCTTCCATGTCTGAGTCAGTCCCACTATCATCCAGTGGCTTGTATTCTATTACATTATCCTGATCTGAAGAACTCATCCTTTCTTCTTTGTCAAGATCTTCTTCCATCACATCTTTCTCTTCAATTCTTGGTCTTAATTGGCCAGAATGAGCCATGAGGCTTTTTCCTTTCTTTGATATAATGGCTGTGTTATGTCCCCTTTTCTTGACACATTCTCCAGATATCTTACTGCTCTGTAAAATTAATTTAAACTCTTTTATCTCCACCACTGAATTCTCTGTTCTAAGTTATCTTCCTCTTTATCAAAAGAATTCTAGTGTACTTGGAATTCATATTCAGGAAAAGAATTCTATGGCCTTGGAATTTACATTTGGGAAAATCTTCCAGGGGCATGTGTTATGTCCTTACGCAACCCAAAAACGCATAACCACACACACTTTACACTTAGTGACACATCTCTCTTTCCCATCTCTTTAATAATATAACATATAAACTCTCCCTCTCTCTTTAAATATGTTATAGTAGCCATTGACTGCAAAAACAATTAAGTCAAACAGGCTATTGACCACAGCAACAGGTTTGAACCAAAGCTAAAAATAGATCCCCCCCCCATACATGTAGACTCACATGACAAAGTAGGAATGTTCAGAAGGAAAAGATCAACAGAAGCTAGTTGGATGATGAAACTCAAAGGAGTCAGATCATCTATTATGTCCTCATGCAGATGGATTCTCCGAACTGAG